TTCACACATAATAGGTTTTCGGGTACATTTATCGTTAATACTTGGATTGATAGAGAAATGTTAGCGTTGCGCGTCTCCTTATGCTATCTGGGTTTAGCGCCCGAAGTAACGGTCTACTTTATTGACCAACTCTTACTACAGGGGTGTATCGGTGGGCGCTGTCGCGTCTGGTGATATGGGAAGGGGCAACGTTGCCAGATGGATGGTAACAACCGGTAGGGCAGGAAAAGAATATCTATGGGCCTGTTTGCTTGACTTGATCCGTTTAATTTCGCCATTGTGCATGTTCGTAATAATTTTTTTCTCAGAGGGTTCAAGTTCTGAAGTTGATCATTTATCAACTGATGGACGGCGATGCGTACTTAGTGCAAAGTCAGCTTACTTCACGTCATTTTTTCATACTTGAAAGACTCACCTGCAAGTCCTCCGGGTTTCCCACCGATGGAGGTAATAAATGTCATTTTCCTTACAATCGACGGAAACCTAACCTTCATGACAGGAGTGGTCACATTCTAAAGCTAGGATGTCATATTTTAAGTTTGAACTTTAACGAGCAATTTTGCCACTTCTGTTCTCTGAACAATATGAACATATTTAGAATATAATTTTTGAATGGGAAATATTGATATTGAATCGGAAAATACTCCATTGGCAAAACCAACGATGAGTACCAGCCAAACTATGCTGACCTGCTAAATGTATTACCTTATTATATACTCGAAATATGGGTCTTTTCACGGTTTTTTGACAGTTACAAAATACGAAATAAGTATACAGATCGACTAACTGCACCATGTGCGGAGCTTATTTGTCATAGGGGAAATTGAACATTGCACAAACTTCAACGCAGCCAGTGGCGTAGCTACTTTGTGTACCCGGTGCTTCTAAATTTTTTAATTTTTTTCTCCTTCCCGTTATCGGGACTGCACCCCCTTGATATGCCACTGAGCGCAGCAGTTCCTACGCACATGAATTTGGTGGCAAGCACCATTGCCAGCATCCACTCTCTGAAAATATACTAAGTGACATATAAATCCGAACACCCAGTTTAAATGGTTTTATTTTAATAAAAGTTGGTGAATGTATTTATCTTATTGTAAATAACCAGTGAAAAAATTTTCAGCCTTATCAGTTGGACATTCCGGTTTTTATACTGCTTTTTTTTAATTCACTAACGCTCTAAAAATTAATATTTCAGCCGCAGTAAAGAATCAACGTTGGCGGATTTTGGTTCTTGACATCCTTTACGATTTGTTACGATGCCTAGAGTACGGAGACCTGTACGATTTCCTCAACTTAGTGAGTTTGATAGGGGCCGTATAGTGGGACTTCAGGACTGGACTTTCTTTTCGGGCAATTGCAGTTAGAGTGCAAAGAAGTGTAGACACTGTGGTTAGGTGTTGTCAGGCATGGCTTCGAGAAGGCCGTACGCAAAGAGCAAGGGGCACTGGACGCCGCCGTAGAACAACAGACCGTGAAGATCGCCGCCTAAGATTATTGGCCTTAAGGGACCGTTTCTCCACTACCAGGTCCACTGCAAATGAATGGTTTGCAGAACACGGAAGACCTATTGGCATGCGAAGTGTTTACCGACGAATGAGAAGTTGTGGCTTGTTTTCATACCGGCCACACTGGGTCCTCCCTTTAACTCGAGAACACCGACGTAATCGCCTTGAGTGGTGCAGACAACGGTCACTCTGGGATCAGGAATGGAACAGTATTGTCTTTAGTGACGAGTCTCGATTTTGTTTAGGCATGCACGATGGTCGTGCCGGGGTTAGAAGGCCACGTGGTGAAAGGAGGAATCCACAATTTTTTGTTGAAAGACATGTTCATCACACTGTTGGAGTTATGGTTTGGGGTGCTATAGCTTATGGTTCCAGGTCACCTTTGATCTTCATCAGAGGTAACATGAACGCACAGCGTTATATCCACGAAGTTCTAGAACCCCATCTTTTAGCCTATCTTGACTCCCTGGCAGATACAACTTTCCAACAAGATAATGCCCGACCACATGTTGCAAGAGTCACAATAGACTTCTTTCAACATAATGATGTCACATTGTTACCATGGCCACCAAGATCTCCCGACTTATCCCCAATTGAGCACGTGTGGGATATGATGGGTAGGAGATTGCTCAATTTGCAACGTCCTCCTCAGACTCTAGAAGCACTTCGAGAGGAGTTGGTGGTTGCCTGGAATGAGATACCACACGAGGACATTGACCACCTGCTCAGAAGCATGCCTAGGCGCGTTGGAGAATGCGTAGCACATCAGGGTGCATCCATACATTATTAAAGGTCAAAGGGCTTTAAAGCAGTGCAATCATTTTGAAATTTTTATCATTTACTTATTATGCTTCATTAAGTACTTATACAAAATTTTATTAAAATAAAACCATTTAAACTGGGTGTTCGGATTTATATGTCACTTAGTATACTTCGATAAATGTTGTCAAAGGTCCATGACAAGTGGGTTTGATACACTGACAGTGACAAGCATAGAAGAAATGGGAGCTTATAAACAAATCATAAAAGCATATATGTATGTGTGAGGGAAATTGATGTATGAAAAAGTATAATGTGTATGTAGTCTTCGTCTAAACCGCCAAATAACGTGAAAAGTTCTATAATCACCAACACTTCTCGAACAAAGTTATTCACTTCATCGCTAATTTTAGATATGTATCAAAGAGATGAATAGTAATATTACGGCTGGTGTGAGGTATGTTTTAGTTTGTTTTGGCGCATCAGAATAGATTAAAAGGTAATACTAGCCGCACTTCTTTTATCAATTAGTACGCAAGAAGTACTAAATCATTTAAATTGCTTTCATTTTCCTAATATTTTGTACAGTAATGTGAAAATTTTAGAAATTCAGATGATTTTTGTTTTGTGATGCACTGTTTAAAATTGTTTAAATCGTTTAAATGATTGAAAATTAAAATAGCTTTCAGATCGTCCCAACGTTTGTTTTTGTATGCTTTACAACTTTCTGGACCTTTTCAAGGGTGATTAAACAACATTGGAAGAGATTACAATTTAGCAAATCTGATTTCATCGTTTCTGATTGCTTCAAGTGAGGGCATATTCAAAAACATTAGATGAAAATATATATATAATGTATGTACCGAGTCAATCTACTTGCCACTATTTTTTCCGAAGAATTTTTTATTAAGCCATCCATAGCGGAAGACGATTTCAGTGAAATTTTCATGCTTGATAATCAAAATTGCCTGATAGAAGTCCTAAAATATTTTAATTACTTTGAAAGATGGTTAAAAATAGGAAGCATAAGGTTTAGCGCATGATATTTATTAATTTAGCATCCAGCCTAAACGCTTGCGTGAGATTGTGAAACCCAGGTTAAGCATTCTTTTCCGACATGTGGCCTATGTAAGCTGGCGGTAGCTACGACCCTGAAATCAAAGCTTTTAATGGAAGTTCGTTCACCAAGAGCAGAATATTATCATTATTTGACGTTCAAAAACGTGACGCATCTCCGTCTCTGTCTGGAGCTAGTGACATTCAGCAGATAACAAAATCTGCCTGTTGACCCCAGCAATTTCTTTGTGTCCATCGCAATACTATTTACGATGTTAGTTATAGCCTCGTAAAAAGGGTGTTAATATTGATTTTTATTGGCAGGCAGTGTAGTGTTAGATATTGAAGCAATTTTGTTGCACTTACCTGCCCATACTCTTTTATTTTATATAACATTATATCTCTATTGTTGTATTCAAGGTAGAGGTGCTGAATTGAGATTTGTGTCAGTATCTATTTCATCCTGCAAGTTGACTACGCATGCTTTTATGATAATGTCACCATAATATTTCTGCATATTCTTATCACTTTAGCAATTTACTTTGTTTAAGTATCACAATAAGCTGTTTATATTTTGTTTGGCATAGTATCTGGAGAATTGTTGAAACTCTCAGAAATAGGTTTCCTGATCAAAAGCTTGACTACTTCATTATGAAAAAAGTTTTTTTAAGTAATTTATCAACGAAATAGTAAACTCCAACTAAATTTTGACAGCATAGTAGCTAGTTGAGGACTCACATGTTCTCCATGGAAGACTCATTAATGCATTACTGCTAATTTTTGCACGCATGATAAATAAATTTTTTCAACTTAAAAGTATCCTTGTTTAGTTGTTTAGTGATTATTCTATCTGTGGTCTGTTTCTTAATCTTTACCCCCTCTATAACTCGGAAATACCCCTTCCGTAAGATTTCGATACAAGGTGACTACTATGCTAGGAACGAAAAAGCTTTCTAGGTCTTGAACATTGGTTTAGTGACGGCGGAATTACAAAAGAAAAACTTGTTTCAGATATCCCTGCTCAGATTCAGTAATTTTATGGGGTGGTTGAAAATTGGGGGTTTGGAGTTGCAGAGGTGAATGTTTGTAAATGTTGCATTTTTGGTATCAGTGAAAGATATCGTTAAGAAACAAGTTTCGTTTTGAAATTAGCGAATTTGAACGAAAACGTGGGAAGTATACAGTCACTATACTTATCGGTCATCCTTATATTGCTAAGAATCTAGCTAATTTCAGTGAAAGAAAAACATAATTGTACCTACATTAAAATCCGGAAAAATCAGCATCGTCGTATGTACGTCATACTCTTATTCATTATTTCATTGCTGCCTCTCATATCACCTTAACGTTATTTTTGTTAGATTGATCTTTTGAGATCTGATTTCACATTGTTAGTGAACTTTTTTGACTTTTTGAATGGATCTGTTTTGTCATAAATTTTATGACACTGCGATACTGTAATTAAGTTACTCATTTTTCCTTACAATTCGCTTTATAAATTTGCAGCTTGATTATCAAAATTACACATGGCACTATTTGACCTATATTATGCTTGTGTATTTCAATTGTTTTTTTTTTAATGGCGAGGTAGACTTCTTTTCTAGTGTCCCTCGTATAAGCACTCTCCAATCTTGGAAAATAGTTAACTGATAATAACATCTCTTTCCTCTTTTTCAGTTGGTTCTTTGAGAATATATCTCGAAAAGAAGCCGAGAAGCTGCTGTTAGCCGAAGAGAACGCCCGTGGCACTTTTCTAGTCCGTCCTTCAGAACACAACCCGAACGGGTACTCGCTGTCAGTGAAAGATTGGGAGGAGTACCGGGGTTACCACGTCAAGCATTACAAAATAAAGCCATTGGACAATGGTGGCTTCTATATCTCCACCAACAAAACTTTCGACTCTTTAGCTGAGCTGGTCAATGCCTATACCAGTAAGTATCAACGTGTATGTTTGTTTTTATACTGAAGCGACTGCTATGAGGAATTTAAAAACTCTTTGGTAATGCGAGTTTGGACTGTCTAACGTTAGTAGAACAAGGAACAGCCTCTTCGGGTAGATAGTTCCACAATCTCGATACCCTAGTGATAAAGGAGCGGTGGTATCGGCCAGTTGTACGAAGCTCGACAGGGCTAGGATAGGAGGCCGAAGTCAGCCCGTTGGCATAGTGGTAGAAGCGAGGTAGATCCCCGATGGCCCGTCAATGTAAAAGGGTCCGGAGATTGTCCGTTTGCGAAGAGACATCGGGCATGGATAATGTAGTCTGGGCAGCAGCATCCCAAACATGTGAGCAGTACTACTAGGTCTTCTTAGCCCTAAACAAAATAGTCTAGCGTTTCCCAGTAGCTGGCGCTATTGACGAGATGTGTTCATGCCAGATCAAGCCCTCGGTGATTTTGACTCCCACTAGCCGAAATTAATGGCTCTTTGGTAGAACTCGGCCATTTAGCGAAACAGGATGAGCGGTAGGGCGCTTCTTGTTAGTCAATGTACAGTACGGTGTTTTGGAAGCGTTAAACTCTACCAGATTGTTACGAGCAAAAAATAACCTCCAGGTCTCTCGTCAAATAGGAAGTCGCTACTAGATTCCTTTCCTCCAGCTCACCGGCAGAGATCGACTTGTTACTCTGAATTCCTGCATATAGAGTACTGTCATCAGCAAAGCTGAGGGGCAGATTGATCGTACAAGAAAGCAGCTTGATATATAACAGGAACAATGTCGGAGCCAAAGCCGATCCCTGCTAATTCGTGAATAAGACTATCTATTTGTATAATGTTGGATATAATAAAAACAGTACAGTGATCCCTCTTTTATTATTTTTTAACATTGTGTTTAAAATAAATAAAAACTTTTGTCGAAGGTTGTAGAACCCTCCAATAATTTGAAGTGTAAAATTATCATGGATTCACGATTCATAATATGTGTGATCAATCAAAGGCAGAAATGAGGTCAATAACCCTGAATCAATGTCCACTAACAGCAATGTTTTGATTCTGCATATCGCTTTCTGTGGTCATGTTTTAATTTGACTGCTTACTTTTCACGTATACAGTAACCTTCTGAAAAGTTTGTTTTGTATGAGTTTCAAGTTTGTTGCCCTTACTGAATTTTTTTTTAACAAAGCAACTCAGTACATTGGTACAAGTAAACATGGTTTTATAAAAAATCAATCTTTTCTCTATCTTTGGAAATAATCTGAATTGTGAATCTATCTGTCCATTTTCTTTGTTATCTAAGTTCGCAAATTTGCCCCATTTAACCGAATCGTAGTTCATTTGGCGTTAGGTCTGAAAATAAACCGAACATAACCCAATTAATGACAGAACTGCGTGGAAAGTACAGAGTCAACTTACCTGCTAGGCGTCATTTTTTGTCAGGTATATCTAAATAAAGAAATGATGTCTCAGATGACTTACGAATCTCTTTATTGTATGGACATTAAATTCTTGATAAAGCAATAATGATTCAGTCATTCCCATGTGGTTCTTTTTTTATTAGGAAATAAGATTTATCAATTCACTATTGTAACATATTTTAAACATTCTGTTTCTGTTCATTTCTGCTTCGCATAGTTAACAATTTTATTGAAACCATAATATATTAAAACAAATGTAAATTTTGTTGCTGTTGCTAACTGAATTTTGAAGGAACTGAGAGATAAGACAAATATTAAATCTGATACCTTGTACTAACCTATTTTTTGCGGTTTTTCATTTTATCATAAAATATAGATAATTTCTTTGAAAGTAATCGTCGGCGTACATCATATGAAAATAGAGCAAGTTAAAGTGGATTTCTCTTATTGTTTTTAGTGGTTTTGTGGAAGTTACTATATGAATTGATTTATAGGAGTATTTTCCATATTCTGTAAAAAAATTATATTGATATTTTAACGAGAATTTCTTGTGACATTACTATGTGGATGTAATTTAATGTTACTGTTAATATGTGCTGAATTTATCGTCCTGCTTAGAATGGTTATATTCCAGCTATATTGTTATATGGACGTCCTTGATCAATGAAAAGCTCATGAAGCTTATTTCTATTGTAAAATATAGAGTATTCACCGTACATCATTCAGTGCGGATAAAATGCGTTTTGTCTTTACAGAAAATGCATACGGGCTGTGCCACGTCCTTTCCAAACCTTGTAAGAAACCACAACCGACGATGTGGGACTTGGCGCCTACATACCGGGATAAATGGGAGATCCCTAGGGATGAATTACACCTCATCAAGCGGCTGGGCCGTGGAAACTTCGGCGAGGTAGGTGATAAATATTCTTATGATAAAGGACGTATATAAATGAAACTTCCGATTCCGTACTAGCGGAACCAGGGAACAGTTTCTTGAAAATAATTTTCTCCCGCATTTCTTTAAAGTATTTAGCGGTATATCGCAAGTATTATGAAGTAGGAGTTGAATGTGTTGTCAGACTATGTTTATGGAAGCTTCGCATAGCCACTGCGGCGACGTCGCTAGCATCGGCAGTCAAATTAGTCTATTGCAATATACTGTAACGCACTCGTAACTGGGACCTTGAGTTACGATCAGACACCCTCGCAGTATCTACGCTTACGCAACCAGAGTTACGCCATCGTGCATCAAGAGCGTTGGAGCTTGCGGCATCAACCAGAAGGATCGACCAACAGTCGTCTCCACCAGGGGGACAATCAACTAACCGCGACCGATGAGTCAACATGCTATATTCCAGACGACTTGGTTATAAATTTAGCATACAACTTGAGATATTGGAAAAAACTGGGCGCCTGTGAGATTCGAATCCGCATTTTCTCCTTTCAGTGTAGTCGACCTAGCCAGTAGTCTACAGCACCAGCTGCCGACCAACTTTGAGGATCGCGGCGAATTCAATCCAGCTACGCCACTGTTCCTTTGTACTCTCAAGCTGGCTTGATGCCCCATCTGGCGGCATTCAAGTGAAAATCGGATTCTTTGGGTATCTCTAATCACTTTCTAGTTTCACTACTACGTCTCGTGGGCACGCACTACGGTACCACCGCGCGAGGACAGTAACCTGTATATGATTTTTCGGATGATCACATCACATGTGACAATTTAAAACTCTTTCAAGGAATACAGCGACAAACTATTCTTGCTGCAAAAATATGTATTTTACTGCTATTTATTTTTACATGAACTATTAGGTAGTATTTTTAAACCGTTCAATGTCTACCATTTATTTTTCCACAACGCGATTTTTAATGAAAATTCCATAACACGATGTGGATGTTGTGAATCCTTTTTTTGCTCAATATTGTAAACGCTGTGTTTACTGTTCGAAGTCTAATTCATGACTTTTACACTAATTTATGACGAATTTATAACTATGGCGACTGGGCTATATCATGTCGCTCGAGTGGAGGCGGCTCTGTTCTTATTCTGAATTCAAGGAAATCCTAACATTTGCGCGCTCTATAGAAGGTGTCCAGATCGCTATCGATACTTCACGAACGCTCCCGATATCGACCAAAGCTCTTCATTAAGGTCACAATCGCTTACGCACAGCCGCGTAACTCTGGTTGCATAAGCGTTAATGTTTCTAGACACCCAGAGTCGTAGTTATACGAGCGCCTTACAATATGTAGTAGCTTTCTCATCCTTGAGGTGAAGGACCATATATCTATCATTTGTAAGGAACTAGACCAACGTTTTTCACGGGTAAGGTAGGATATCAGTAAGAGACATGTTGTTGCAGGTGTATTATGGTAAATGGAAAAACAACATTGAAGTGGCTGTGAAAACGTTGCGCGAAGGTACTATGTCCACGTCTGCGTTCCTGCAGGAGGCGGCTATCATGAAGAAGTTCCGACACAAACGGTTGGTAGCGCTGTATGGGGTATGTAGCGAGCAAGAGCCGATTTATATTGTACAGGAGTACATGACGAAAGGTATGATTGTCGGTAAAAGATTTTATGACCAACATTTTCCACCTTTTTTCTATTATGCAGGGGCCGCATACAAGCTATTTCGTCTTAAAATTTTTGGTTTTCAATGTACAGGTATCTTAGAGTTATCATTTTTTTTTATAATATGTCAAAGGTCCATGTGCCGGTTTTGTTGAATTTCGGCAGTGTAATAAAACCCTAAATTAGCCCTAAAAATCTACGCCACGGACTTTCTGAAAATAAAATTCTGTAGTATGTCGTATTAAATTACTTTGGTTGAAAGTGCCTATCTGAATCTGAAATAAAATGTAGGTCTATAGATTAAAAAATGGATGTATAGGCAACCACATAGTTATGTATCACCATATATAAATGAAAATATTTTCAAGGTAAATTACCCCACTTAATTTCTGTTGTGTCTTGAAGGGCCTATGTTATGGTTTAATGCAGATCAACATCCATGCCTGAACATTTAATAAAAGCTAATGTGGGTATTTAATTTTCATTGCAGGTAGCTTGCTAGACTTCTTAAGACAAGATGAAGGCCAGGGTTTGGAATTCGAAGAACTAGTGTATATTGCATTCCAAGTGGCCAGTGGAATGGAGTACCTGGAATCCAAACAACTAATTCACAGAGACTTAGCTGCAAGAAACGTATTGATAGGAGAGAATAACATAGCCAAAATCTGTGACTTTGGTCTTGCTAGGGTCATAGAAGACAATGAATACTGTCCTAAACAAGGATCCCGGTTCCCAGTCAAATGGACCGCACCAGAAGCCATCGTTTATGGAAGGTAGGTTTGACATATACAGGATGCATCCTAACTACGGTACGAAACAGAACATCGGTTTTTAAAAAAAGGTCGTATGAACATATCTGCGGCTTTGCTGCGTTTTTGAAATACATGGCGATGAAGTTTCTAAAATGGTATTTATGTATAAAATATCATAAAGGTCCGTAAACCCATTTGGTTGGAATTTGGTGCACTTATTTGACGTAATAATGCGCTTTTTGGTACTAACTAGATTGAAATCAATGAGTCAGTCACCCATCTGTAAAGCTTCTCTGGAAGGTCATAGGATGGAAGCTTGCATAAGCTGATCGAACGTTATAAACAGCAACACCATGAGCCCCACCATATGAGAGAGTACTAAACAGATGCATGTCGTCAGCTAGGGGGTCCCCCGTGGATTTCTGGTGCCAGAAATCGTACTGCCTGTCACTACTCAAGCCGCGACGTTAAAGATACTCCAGAAGCTTCCGATGTATGGACCTCTCCATGGCCTTACGTATAACGGAAAGCAGAGCCATAGGGCTGTAGTTGTAAGGGTCGGACTTAGATCCTTAGATTTGTAGGATGGGCAGGACAGGAGCAGATTTCCAGTTTTCTAGGAAAGTACCGGACTCGTAAGATATCTTGAAAAAACGGCTGGAATCAAGTTCGGACTAGATGTTTTGCCGAGCGACATCAGCTTGTCTGTTCTCTACAGTGGGGTCTTGAAGAAACGTTCTGTGTGCTTGAATCTGAGGACGTCGATCTTGACAGCGAGGTAATCAAGTTGAGCCGAAGCCACAGAAATGATTCGAAAGAAACGTCTATGGAACAGACAAGGCTGCTGTGGACAAAAGCCCCCGTACTTCCTTAAATTGGAGTGCACCTCGTAGGTTGGAAAACTAAGATGGCTACTAGAGGCAGAATCGAAGATTTTGGTCTCCGATTTGACTACTGGCAACGGCATCAATGTTGGTGTTGATTCCACAGATGTTCGTGAAGGAGATTTTATCAACGATGTTGTTCCCGCGAGTTCGCCATCGATCCTGACATTCCAAGAATTGACTGAGTATACATCCGGAATTCTTATTATTTTTTCTTTGTTGTGAAGGAAAAGGGAAGAAAATCGACTGCGTATCTTAAGTGTGGAAAAGTGGACATTTTCCAGACGCCCTGAAATAAGCTAGCGAGTGGTACCGCCTGGGTTTACAGGTTTCTGTCCACCACCTTCTTTTTGTTTATGAAAGTAATGTTGTAATTAACAAAACTTTGCGAAATGTTTTTCTGCCACGGTAATAAAACGTATATTTTACGAGGGTAAATCAAATATGAACCGGACTTTTCTGTTTAACGCGCCATAGGTGAATGAGAGGGGAGTCAGTCGGTTTGCAAGAGTTGCACACGCCTGTTGCACATCGCATTATCATGAAATGCTTGTCGTGGGAGAGCGTAAAACCTTCCTAAATTTTGCGTCGATTAACAGCGAAGTTCGGCGATAATAATTTTTTTCCATGGAGTGGCAAAAGCCTGGAGAGGCAGCACTGAGCAAAGCCAAGACCAGTCTTTTTGTAGGAAAAGTTAATGCACCGGTATCTTGGGATTCCAGAGGTCTGCTGCTAGGTGGTTTTCTACAAGATCGCCGTACAGTTAATGCTACTTACTACTGCCAACTGCTTAAAGAAGTGGAACTGGCTTATCGGCGAAAAAGGCTAGACATCCTTATCCGAAGTGGCATTCTGCGCCATGAAAACGCTCGTCCACACACAGCTGCATTGACCCAAGAAAAATTACGCGAAATTCTTTGGGAAACACTTGAACACCCTCCTTACAGTCCCGATTTGTGGCCATGTGACTATCACATATCTGGGCCACTTAAAGACGACCTGGGAGGTCACCACTTTGACGACGACAAAGGTGTTGAAGCGTTCGTGCACAATTGGCTACAAACACGACCATCTTCATTCTTTGATGGAGGAATTGAAATACTTCCGATCCGATGGGGAAAATGAATTAATAAGAGATGAGATTATGTAGGAATATAAGATGTAAATAAACTTGTATTTGCTATACCAAGAAAATAACTAAAACAAGTGTCCGGATCATATTCGATTCACCCTCGTATTATAACATAGAAAGATCGATTTGGCCATTCGTTGATGATGCTAAATTAAAAAAGTTGTAGTATCTTTTAGATAGAATTGAAAATAGATCACTTGACTATTCCTTATCTTAGTAACGAAATAATGACAGTTCCCGTTGTGACAATATTGCGTTCTATGTAGGCTAGTATCAGTATAGCGGACCCTGAACACAAATCATCGGTCGTAGATAAACTATCAAAACTACCTAAAATGTATTTCTTCAGGTTCTCCATAAAATCAGACGTATGGTCATATGGTATCCTCCTGATGGAACTCTTCACCTATGGCCAAGTACCTTACCCAGGCATGCACGGCAGAGAAGTGATAGAGATGGTAGAAAAAGGCTACAGGATGCCGAAGCCCACATCACACTACCTGCCAGACGAAATCTACCAAATAATGATCAACTGCTGGGACGCAAACCCGGAAAAACGACCTACATTCGAGTTTCTCACGCACTATTTCGAAGGTTTCAACGTGACGTCCGAAGTTCCTTACAGGGAGGTGCCTGATTAACTAAAGGTGCTCCTGGACTTTGTGTAAAAAGTGACTCGGAATTACTCATGCGAAATATAGAGCGTCTGCGGAAAAGTGCCGTTAATGCTGCACTTTTTATGAGACTTCATATTCATACCTGGGAGTGGTATCCCAAAACATTTTTTTCGTGAATGTAGCCATTATTATTATTAGTGACATTAGGTGGTCCGTCAGTATTTCATCATTATTCGTTTATTTTTTAACACAGATTATGATTGAAATGAAGTCGGAATGTTCGCTAACTGTACGATCATCTAGGATTTCTTTTTTCCTAGCTTTTACAGAATGTTTCATCAATGTTTAGCTAAATCACACTACATGGTAGTACTTTTCTTCAGATTCTTGGGACATATAGGTGTCAAAAAGTTCAAGTTTCCATCATTACGGCGTCTATTTTTCGCCTTCTTCGGGACTATCGAATGAGACACACAACACGTCCCAAGGGATCACATCATCTCTTAGGTCAGCCATGCAAAACAGATAATGTGAAAAGATATATTGGCTATTAGAATTTCTATGAAGTTTGAGAAAAAAGTGCCTGCATTATTTACACTTTTCTGCGGGATGGCTTTTCTCACTTTAATGGTGAACTTGCATTACATTTGGTAGATCTCATTTTTTAGGTTATGAGCATGCTTGATTTCCAATGGAGTCAAATTGGGCGAGCTGTCCGTAAAGGCAAAACATGTATCCTATAAAATTCAATTAAGTATGATCTCGGGTCGGTAGTTGTGTCACAATTTCTACCTCTAACAAAAAATACATAATCATACTAAATTCCAACGATGTTTACTGCAAGATATTTTCAAAAAACTTATTGGACTATAATACCTCATGCTTGTCTGGACGAATTAAAACCATGTATGTTTAGGTCCTCTTTATTGAACTACATTTCGGCCCAACGGGGATCTTCTTCAACTTCAATTGACAAGTGTTGACAAATTTTATTTATGTTTTCCAGCTGACACGTCGTTTGTTTTGCAGTTCATTTTCATATTTTTATAGAGTGTGATCCTACAATGGTCTTAAAGGTGCTGTAACAAGCTGAGATTGCGCGAACGCTGGGATAAGCAGTCCCTTTCCGAAAAGCGACAAGCTAGCATGAGGTTATCTGTCGTTTTTTAATGTACTTGTCTCGTCACTCTTGTCCATCGCCCTGAAAACGCCCTCCAAAAACGCGAAAACCCACCCAGAACTGTCGTAACACTGTGGTTGTTATGCAATCTTCGACTAAAATGCTGGATGTGCATTGTTTATGGATCTGAACTGCGATCTAAAGTTGAAGATTGCATGACAATTAAACATTAATGATGGCTGGACTAGCCTGAAATGCAGAGGTGTCCTCCAAGTGGCATGCTATGCCCAGGATTTTACATGTTCCCAAATATACCTGTTCCCGGCTGAGTCTTAGACCCGTCTGTGTGCCAGGTAATTTCCCCTTGCAGGTGTGCAATTTGTGTTTACAATATACTAACGGCCGACCCAGAAAATATTTTGGGGGAGGGTCCCATCTGACGAATTTGAATCAGTATTTATGTCCAGGAAGATTCCCATAACGGGGGTTTGCAAATTGAGAAACAGGTTCTAAATTTTTTTTAACTCGGATATTTCGGAAGATACCCCTTTGGATTCGCTACTGATACTAAACTGTGAAACGAACTTCTTCGTATCCAGAACGGATGGCCTACAGCATATCATTACGCACAACTCTATGTTTATTTGCAATACGAATATCCACGAAAAACAAATATTTCCAGAAGAATCCGGTTAAGTTGTGTAAAACATTAATGCATATCACTTTGTATTATATTAATCTCGAGCTGACCCCGTGACCAAAGACGTTATCCCTAAGAAATTCCATATCAGTAGTTTGCCCTGAACTGATCAAAAACAAATCTGTTGTCGAATTGCTTAAAATGCAATTTCATAGTTTGCTTCAAAAATGGCAAAATGAATATTTTCGTGTAACTTACGGCAGTAAAATTTGATTTGTATATTTTGCACTGCAACAGAGTTCTCACTGATTTGACTCCTCACATGTTAATGGTGATTTTCTTGAGCAACAACGACTCAGATTTGTCAAGTGGAATTTTTATCCAGCGTACAATGTGGATAGTTTGATGTCGATTTGTGTTTTTTTGTGATAATTTAGATTTTAACAGACTAGTCACACCAAGTGAAGAAGCTTTTTTCTCGGAATTTTGTAAGCACCGATTTTATTTCTAGACCACAAAACATCACTATATTTTTTGTAATGTATATATTTTAAGTCGATGAAACACATCACATGCACAAGGAGATACAAATAACAGTCCGTTTGTCTGATCACTTACGGTGTTTTCTTGGAATCAAGCTTTGACAAACGATTTTTTACTGTTCTTTGAGACTTAACTGGTTTCATGTAAGTATCTGTTCTTCACTAGAGCCAACTGTAAATTAAATTTCATCCAAATACATAACCTTAACGTGGACCTCAGGTCAAGGTCTCACCAATGGAATCCCAAATAGGGGACAACTCGGATCACTGTTGTTCCGCAGCCGTGCATCCGCGTGGAGATTAGCTTACACCACTTTTCGGTGGTGTAAAATTCCGAATTGTGTCCGACAAGAACGTAGGTTGCAGGAGCGTCCAGTCCACGTACTGCCACTTGGGCCGAGTGTACCGGTACCGGGGAGATGGTGGGATCGCGTAGGAAACCGTTTTCCTTTTGCTTCCAAATACATTGTCAGTGGTCACAGTGTGTATAATTATATCGTGCGTGCATATTTTCCATAATATGGAAAATTGGAATAAGCGACAATTACATAATAGCTGTGACTCATTGGGACACCACATTATTATATCATCTTCGCAGGAGTTGTTGGCATCTTGCAGGTTCTCCTTTGCAGTAATTTAGTTTGTATCTTGGTTGAAATAGAATCAAAGAAAATTGGTTCTTGAGGTCTCTGTATGTATAGAGAGTAGATACTGCACTTCCTGCTTATACTAAGTGACAAAAAAAAACCAGTAAAAATAAATATATTACAACAATTTTTTGTATACGTTTCTTATGGCGTAAAAAGTAAAAATGTAATGAATTACTAATTTGTTGGCTTCCACTCCTAAATCAGATGATCAATTTCCTCTCGAGGTATCTCATCCCAGGCTACTTGTATCTCATACCGGAGTGCTGCTGGAGGCTGTAGGTGATGGGGTAAACGAAGCAATATTCTTCCAGTAAGATCCAGACATGTTCAATAGATTTTGGGGCCAAGACAACAGTTCCATTTCAAAATCTCTTACCTCCTGGATGTAACCCACGTCGGTCATGTTGGCTCTGATGAATACCATTGGTGACCTGCGTTGTATAAGCAATAGTCCTCGATACCATAATTTCAAGTGTGGTACACATTTGTTTCCACCAGTTTTTCTATATGGTTGGTAGGTATCGTTTTTTGTCCTAAGCTAAACAAGCGTTTGTTTGTTAGGTATATACCTATAAAATCTTTGTAATGAATTATTACTGGGTCTTTTTTTTCTATGCCAGCATATAAATTGAACAGCATCCTGATGTACTACCTCAACTTGCTTCTTTTTTTGACTGCCGACACCATGAAAAGTATACGAGGTGTGTTCAAAAAGTATCGAACCTTTGGTCGGCATACATATATTTATCGATTTGGAGGTCCGAGACTTTAATCCCCTTCAAATTAGTCTCCTTGGTGATGCACACACTTCTCCCAGCGCTTCTGCCATTTTTTGTGTCTTCTTCTTTTCACAAACTTCAGGAAAATACCGTAGGTTTAATTTGCACGATACTGTCATAAATATTGATTTTTTTTATCTAAAATTGGCTTTGTATGTACTTAATCGTAAGAAATCAGATGAACTGCTGTATAATCTCCCCTTTTTAGTTTTTTATCATAAAAATTACACTTTAATTATGCATGAGTGTTATCGTGGTGTATTTATTCATTGTGAATATTTGATCATATTGCATTAACTTTTTTGCTACTGGTTTTTTACGGTTTTATTGATTTTAAAACAGAAGACTGGTTTAGAGCTTCGAGGCAAATCTCAAAAGTCTGTTTTTTGCGCAACACAATGACTTATCTTTCTTAGTTCGATGGTGGAGAACATATTTTTAACTTCACGAACGTAGTTAGGATAGTACAAAAGGCTAAACAACATAAAAAGTGTCCTATCTCAGAATTTAACTTTTATATAAGACTTTTTGTACTTCTAAAACCTTTTACACTTTTGACGAAATCTTATTGGGCTTGGACCAGTACACTTTCAAGAAAAGATTGTTTTTTGCGTTTTGTTCCTATATTGAACAAATTGTAATGAATTATTGTGTATATCTGTGTGTTTTATATATCTAGCTACTCGAGTCACAAGAAAATATCATACGATTACTGATATTAATTTGAAGACCCCTATATTGAAAATTCATATGATACCAAAGCCTATTTGACACTGGGAAAATTGTTAGATTTGAAGTTACTGGTTTGGATTTTTTCAGATAGAATCACACTTTTAAAAGATAGTTCTATGAAACAGCACAATGTCCATCAATTGTTGTTAGGTAATTGATGGCTTACTGTCACTGACCATTTAATTCATATTACCGCTAACTTAGCTAAATTCATTTACCTTTTTAGTCTTGGCTGTCAATGTGTATGAGAGAAAGAGTTACGCTTGCAACACCTTGCAACACGTTTGATAGAAATATATAATATAAGCGTTGTCACCACGTTTCTCTCTCTCTTTCTCGTACACATAAAAAATAGAGCAACTTACGAACAAAATAATGTAATAATTTTCCAAAGTGAGGTTTTTCGTAGTATTGCACCAAAGTTCAAATGGAAATCAAAATTTTCTGTAATTTATCTAACTTTCAAGCATTATGGAAAAAGTATTGTAGTACGTATGATATTTTAATCGTGCAAGTTTTGTGCAGTGATTGTGTACAAACATATTAGGCCAAATGAGAAAATACCTGCCAATAAAATTGCTTTATTTATCTTCTGTATCTCATTTTGTTAAAATATGAATAGTGGATGTAGGGTACGTGCGTGTTTGTGTTTAGCCAATATTTAATTATTTTTGTCCAATCGTTTTTCTTAGAACCGTCAAGTCAGTACGTTATTATATTTTTAAGCGCAAAGCCATACTTTAATTTTTTATAGGAACAATAACTTTTGTACATATAGTATTAAAATATAATAAATATATTATGCTACTCAGAATTTTTTGTTTTATGAAATCGTTAAATACTAGTTCAAATGTATTGCACGAGGTTGCCTTCACGTGAACTGTCGTTGATATACCGGTGTTCCAAAAGTAATGGGACGACTCATTTTTATAGGTAAAGAGTTCAATTGGTGACAATGGTTCTAACAATGAACCTCACTCACCTTCAAGGTTAACTTTTTTATATGAGGATCCCCCCTCTTGGTCACCGGCAGTAGAATATTTAATTTACGTTCTCATGCACTACTATGACATCGAAGGTGAGGTTCAAGGTCACATTCAAGGGCAATATCGAAATCCACGTTAGAAGTTACTAATGGTCCGACCTTGATTCTTTGATAAGACATACATCAGATTCTGAATGGCTGGAATGGATACGTTTGCTTTCCGCCTATGTGCTACTGTGGTGTTTCGTACATATTGCCAACTCGTCACTGCGGTATAGATTTAGTAAATTGGAGACAGCCGAATGGTAAGCAAACAAAACTGGGTATAATCTTTTGAAAAACTCAAAATATATACTTTGCGGAACTAGCTGACAAATCTGGCGATCTCCACCTACCAATGGTTTGGCAAGCTGTTCTTCATCCTCATCATATACAATCAAGAAGGCAAAAGACCACTGCGCTTTTGGCTCCGCACAATGCACAGATAGGTGTCGCACTACTATAATGGTCGATGGTTTTTATGCATGTATGCATAAATAGGCGCCGTTGAAATGGGCATGTTTGCTTTCAGTCTCTTCCGAACCAGCAATTTGAAATGTTTGACCATGAGGACATGGTCTGGTGAAATGACCTTAGCAAGTTTATTTAGCAAACACCTCAAATGGGAGTGGTCGATATGTACTGATGGACTAAAACTCGTAGCCTGGTGAAATTGACTTCGCAAGTTTATTATGAAAACATTTCGAATAGAAATAGTCAATGTCTTAAAGGATAATAGTTTGGCAAATCAACTTCGCAAGTTTATCAGGCACATCTTGAAAGGGAGTAGTCAAAATCATTCAGGGATTGAAGAAACCAGTTTGGTGAAATTAACTTAGCAAAGTTTATTTAACACCTCAAATGGAAGCAGTCCATGATTGCTGGTCGATTATCAGGCAAACACCTCGAATGGGGGTAGTCAAAACTATATTGATGAAATCAACTTCGCAAGTTTATTATGCAAACATTTCGAATAGAAGCAGTCGATGTACTCTTGTTGGTTGAAAAATATAGTCTGGTTAAATTAACTTAGCAAGCTACACTTCTCGAATGGAAGTAGTCAAGATTATCGAGATATTGAAGCCTTGAGGCTAGTCTGGCGAAATTATCTTTGTAAGTTTATTTGGCAAATACGTCAAATGGGAGCAGTCGATGTGTACTGGTGGATTAAATTTTATAATCTCGTGATATTAAATTCGCATGTTTATCAGGCACATCTTGAAAGGGAGTAGTCAAAATCGTTTAGGGATTGAAGAAACGAGTTTGGTGAAATTAACTTCGCAAGTTTATTTAACACCTCAAATGGAAGCGGTCCCTGATTGCTGGTCGATTATCAGGCAAACACTTCGCAAGTTTATTATGCAAACATTTCGAATAGAAGCAGTCGATGTACGCTTGTGAGTTGAAAAATATAGTCTGGTTAAATTAACTTAGCAAGATAGACTTCTCGAATGGAAGTAGTCAAAATTATCGAGATATTGAAGGCTTTGTAAGTTTATTTGGCAAACACGTCAAATGGGAGCAGTCAATGTGTACTGGTGGATTAAATGTTATAATCTCGTGATATTAAATTCGCAAGTTTATTTGGCAAATCCCTCGAAAGGGGGGTACTTAAAATTGTCAGAGGATTAAAGAAAGTAGTCTGGTTTAGTTGTACAACACCTCTAGTGGAAGTAGACACGATCGTCGGAGAGACTAACCAAAAGTATAATCTTAACTAACTGAAAATATAATCTGTGTAACTTGGTGTTAAGTTCGCAGGCTTTTGAGGCAAACGTCTCGAACACTCGTTTATATCAGCTGCTCCTGTTTGCCAAGTAAACATGCGAAATTAGTTTCTCTAGGGACTCTAGGCTATATGATTTAATCAACTTTATTTCACCGACTATTCCCATTCGAGTTGTACCTTGTTTGCATCTGCAAATTAACTTCGCAAGTTTATCAGGTAAGTACCTCAACCATGAGCAATGACGTCGCATAGTGGTGTAGAAAACCTAAAAGCTAGCAAAATAAAAAATACCCTTTTTATAAATTTTCAGTACAAGGGGTTTTTGGGTCGCTCATTTCAAATCTGAGGTTATTTTGTCTCCATGAGGGCATTCGAAGTTCACTTTAAGGTCATATCAAAAACATTTTCAAAAGAAACCGAGGAGTTGATCCCAAGCACATGTTATTTAGATTTTTCTGGTTTCTAAGTCCAAATCGTTACAAGTGCATTTCGAAGTCACTTCAAGGAAAAATTCAAAATAAGTCTAGCTTTCGAGTCCAGACGCATGTCATATAGGTTTTCGAGGTAGTTAAGTCCAATTCAGAGATCAGTTTGTTTCTAGGAAGGCATTTGAAAGGTATTGTCATGCCACTTGAAAAGGAAATTCGGAAAAGTTGAATAACCATTTTCAGCTATAATATAAGGCTATATTTCTCAAAAGTTGCAAAAAGTTAGCAAGAAAACAACACTGGATTTTATCTGGCAGTACTTCAAGATTCACGAACATAATTTATTACAATTGGGGCAAAGGAACCTTATTAAAAACCTCTCTGAATAATACTAATATAAAGAAGTGGAGCTGAAAATAACTAATCGTTCATTTTACAATGTGCCACAGTGAAACAGCAAAAATGATAGATTTCTGTCACATCAAATGAAGGTTAGCACTCTCATGATCCATATTCACGTTAAAAAGTAATGTCGAATGATACTCTAAAAACTTCAGGTTTAATAGTCAGCCAAGGTAAAAGTAGTGTAATCAAAGTCTTGATTCTAAGCTACTAACTTAAAATAGTTAATGACTTTATACCATTTTTATTACTTTGTTTTCAATTTTGGCCAGGTTTTCGCATCGAGTAGGATTAAAGCGTATATATTGTCTGGTAAAAATAGTTACGCAAGTTTATTTGGCATACTCGAACGGAAGTAGTAAAAGTCAGATGCCTGAAATGTCCTACTTGTAATAGTAGAAGAGTGGGGTTGGAAGGTAGTGCACAAAAAATAGCTGATGAGGGTCCTATACCGCAGACCTGCAGTACGCCCCTAATACTTGTTCATAGTACAATGATGAAAATATAAACAAAACGGGGTATGTCAACTATTTATTGTCTTGCGTATTTTCTTGCTCTTAAGCAAAATAATAAATTACAATCCCACGATTTTTTCGATAAATTTTGGAGAATCAAACAAAATATAATTTCCTGGGGAGCATACCTGTAGGTATAGCCCCACGAAGAATTTTCGCTTTTTCCTTAGTTGATTTAAATGTAACTTTATATAACTTGCCGGGATGCATTTGTATTACATCAATTACAATATGCTCCATATTTATTATTTTTGTTTCTTTTATCATCCCTTACAATTTGTATTAAGTTACAATTTAACCGAACGAAAGAAACCCGAAAGTTGATGGTGGCGCTATAGTTATGCTCTCCAGTTCATTATATAACAATTATATAAAAATGCATTACACTATTATAGCACATTAATAAGTATTTGGTGATAAAAATCCGTGAGATAATAAACATTGTCGCAAATTAAAAATATAAAATTGCGTATTATTTTCTTTTTTGATCTAAAAGTTTTGTTCAATTCTATCCAAATACTGCAGATATGGCAAATAAATTATATCACAAACATACAAACACAAGCATACACAGTGGAAGAACTACTCTCGAAATTATTTTGTAGGTAATTAACAAACTCAGATTTTAACTGATTATTATTATTTATTTAACATTTATCGGAGTTAACGTTTATGCATGCGGTATTTGTGATTGCGAAAAGTATCAAATTTACTCAAAAAATGATGTAATAGTCGTGTATTTTCCAAATGCTGTAAACGTAAGCACATATGTTAAGTAAATTTCAATTGTAAAATCTTTCAATTCCATTAATGTTTCATATATAAAGTAAATCGAACTTTCACTGTGTGGATTGGTCGCGTTCATCAGAACATACCCTACGTTTACGCATACATCTCAAGGCAATTCAATACCATATCTTTCAAATAAGAGAAGTGCACAAACACTAGCTAAATCTACTCAGGCATTAAGCTTTATCAGAAAAAATGTTCAAGGTCGTACGCCCATTTGGCCAGCAGCCTGTTTGAAGTAGTATTTTTAATCGGTTTAATCCAGTTCCTTCATGGTGTGTATAGAATAATTGATAAGCAATATTAACAAAATGTTCCCCCAAAAAACACATTTTTATCCATTTTTTATGCAATCGTAACTTGTCAACAAATAATAGTACAGCTCCGAAATTATCCGACAACATCCCACATTTCGGACCTCCCGCTGGCCAACGCCTATAGCGGAGGATGAGTGGCCATAATCAGAGGTCGACGTGCATGTCTCTTCACCGCTATGCCACGTTACAGTCCAAGCTGCATTGTGTTCGCTACTGTTGGAAGTCCGTGTATATGTTTTGTGGTTGGTCGTGAATAATCTGTGTGTCTATCGGTTTTCTATTTGTTTTGTTGCTTGTTGTTGTCAAGTCACTCTTTATATGTTTGTTGTTATTGTTAAGCCATTTGTTATACGTTTGTGGTTAGTAAATATGAATTGTCTAAATGTCGTCATCCATTACCAAAAAGCGTAAATGCACGCGTGGGGCAAAGCACAAAAAAATGTCTGTTAGCAAGCATAAACAATCTCTGTCTGCGATAAGGATACCAACTAGAAGCACAGGCAACATCCAAGGGTACGTCTAAACACGCCATGTAGATCTGGGCGTGTACAATGCTTTTATTACGATTTTGAAAGTGTGCTGACATCTAACGAATATTCGTTCCACCAGAGTATTGCACCTATTATCTTAATGGAAATTTGTTTGTTTTCTTAAAACACATTTAATCAAAACCATTGAGATGTACGGGTAGATGCAGTAATGTCACTGTTCTGATGAACGCGACAATTATTCGCATTCAGCAGACACTTCATAGCGGAAATACTCGTGGTATGCCATTATGACACCTAAACAGATGACCTAACATCTACCAATCACAAGCGAACGTTGTCACTACCACTGTAGATGTGCCACTCTGTGGGTCATTATATTTCTGTCAAGTAGTAACCACTTCGATACTGACTAGCAATATACTTTGATCTTATGTATCTAATAAATTGTTCTACCTTAATTTCAAAGTCTGTCATGGAAAATGGATATTTTTTACTGAATAAATTCAGATATATACCTAAGACTACTATCAGGCCACTCCAGAGATATCTGAAAAAGAAAAGATCATATTATACTTTGAAATTATAGGATCATAATCAAATCCGCCCCTTTCAGTTTTATTAGCATTGTAACACCTTGTATAGTGCGGTAACACGGGCGGTAGGTCACAGTTTGAGTTGTCATGTGTTGTCAAATTGTAGGTATGTAAGTTGTCAGTTAGTTCTCAAGTAGTCAGGTAGTTTTGTTTATCTCTAGATATTTCAACAGGTTTGTAGAATTCATGAGTTTTCTAGAAAGTGGTCTTCTCCTGTTGCTAGGATATATAAAGGAGTGTGAAGCTGTAACTTGAAGCAAGAAAGTTTTGTGAGTTTTTGAACGAATACAACGTGAAAAGGCGTATTTCATTTCAACTGCGATAAAAAGATGCTATTCGTGACAGACTTTAATACAATATTTCAAAACATTCTGCTCTATTCATTGGTTTATCCTGACTATATACATACACATCCATAATTACATTATGCAAAACAAGTTACATAAATGCGTCAGCACCACTACAGAGTACGAAGTACGATTCTGCCATTTTCACGATATAATGTCCTTAGGGCTCGATTTTACTAATACTACTACTACTAATTTTAAAATTTATTTAAGGTGGTCCTATAATCCCCATATTAAATCAAGAATTACTTCATGTATCACCTGGTTTAGCTACAAAAATCTTTTTTCTAATTTGAGCCCAGCCAATCAAAAAGAAGGATTTGGGATATAATCGCAAATTCAACCAATCAAAAATAAGGATTGGTGCCCTGCTCGAAACATGGATCAAACCTGATACAATATTCTAGATTGATAGCAATTACTGAACATTTTATTGAAAATAACAGTGTTACTTCTTTCATGAAAGAGGCAATCTTGAAAAGAAAGTGATATATTTTTAACAATTCATCAACCGGTCGATATTTATCTATAAGATACATATTCGTAAATTTCCTATTTATAATAAAGGTATGCATGTAAGGTATATTTCTTTGTTATATAAATAATATATATACCGAAGCAGCCGCGCAAGGTGAAGCCTAAATATCAGGGAACCTGGGCTGCTATGGGGAGCTCAAAGAAACTTTGTTAATCCAATTTTTGAGGTGCCTACGGTTATATTAGTAGAACTGAATGTACGAAGTTCGACACGGTTGATCTATAATGCGGCATGTGATTCAAAAACTTAATTTCAATTCAATTAACTTGGATTAATACTTACTGGAATGTAAACGGTTTGCTGAAAAACATAAACGATATGATAATCGTAACAGCCTTGCGACACGTTGTGACTGTCACTGTGGCAAGAGCTCCAGCACTTCTGACCAGCGTCAACACAATTTGAATGCCTAAATAACCTGTTACAGAAAATATGAAGGCATATCCATAAGTTTTCTTTGGATTCTGGAATAAAATAGCGAATGCTACACATCATTAGGTACATGGATACAGGGTATCCCCAGAAAGAAATATTCAAGGGGTATGGTGAAAGTAAAATAGTAGAGGTGCAGGATTTTCCAATGGCTATTCAGTGGTGATCTTCAATTTGGTTAAATTAAGATTAACATGATTTTTACTTTCCATGCCTAATGGAAAATGAGATATGTTCTTTGGATATTATATGACATGTACATCACGAAAAACAATGTCAGACTCATTTCTTGTAACCGTCTTTAACTTGAGAAGTACCGCTCGGATTTCGATGAAATTTTTAAACAATGTTACTACTATGCTAAGGACGCAAAACCTTTGTGGTTTTCGAAAATCAGTGCAGTGTCGGTAGAGACAAGCACCTAAAACGAAAAAAGTAACAATCACTAAAACTTCGTTTTTTGACGTTTCAGCGGATTTTTGAAAAAAAATAGAGGTAAAAAACTTGAGGGTTGGCGATTGTAGGGGGCGGCAAGTATTTATCTCATTTTTTATGTTGGCGATTCGACGCACCTATAAGACGAATTTCACACATCATAGATTTGTCAGCACATTAGCCCTTAAAATATTCTCTGCAGATGGATCGCATACCTGCCGGCCACGGCTGCGGAGTGTTCTGTTCTGGTATGATATCACACGTATTTCTGCCGCATCACAAATTAGTGTTTCCTATGCTCTGACTGCGCTGCCACGTCTGACCTAGTTAAGTATCGGGTAGAGGCGATGTTTCCAGATGCATTATCGGTGGGGCAGTGAAAGAATGCCTACAGACAAATTGTATGTTTGACTGACTTTTTTCTCCCTAATGTATGCTGAACATAATCCTTTATGAACTGAGAACGACGATGCGTGGGAAGTGCAGAGACAACCTACTTGACGCCATTTTTTCTTTATCCGTTAAGGTTTGTTTCAACATAATCTGGAACTAGCCGAGGGATTGAAGGCCCCGCTGTTTTTCACACCTTGTTTCTGCTTTATCTTCAGAAACATACCTGGAATTTTTTTAAACATTCTTTTTTTACGGCGACCTTCACAAGGACGTTAAAGGTAAATACTAAACCACTACTATTTCATTTTTACTACACCCCTTGTTCAATCTCAAAAATGTTGCCATTCTAGGAGGTTTTATCCCGGAACGGCAAAATCTGGCTTCACAGATGAAACAAGATCATAATTCATTTTAGATATCTCTAAAAATTTGTCTAAGTATCACCACTACTTTATGTCTATAAGTTGTACATTGTAATTCTCACCTTTGAAAAGAATTCGATGCCATCGGTTAAACCGCCATCCACCAACATTATCACAAACAGGTACATAAAACCAATTGCGTATGAGTATAAAACGACTTCGGCATTTGTAGCACCATAATTCTTCATCGATTTTTCTTGTACATTTCCTATAACAGCATCACACAGTAGTGCCATTGATATCATTGTTATACCTTTAGTGTTAAAATTTGGCTGGACCTGGGAGTCAGCTGAAACGAAAGCATTGACCCGTTCAACCTAATTAATTGGACTATGATTTCATATTAGCAATAAATGCACAAAGTTTTTTTTTTCATGCACAACCAAATGGCAAGCAAGCTTCCATCTGTAGATACGGAGTATTAACATCAATGATATTAACTGTTATTTTTTTTTAGGAATTGGGGATGCTTGGTTAAGATGAACCCTGATAATAGGAATATCTTAAATGTGGCAAGTCCTGGTCCTGAGGTAGGATTGTCAACAGTCTATTTTAATGTAACATCTCAAACTTATCCAGCTGTTTACATGTCGATAATCCCCCATGATTTTCTGGCAAATAAAACCACATGTACTAATTTCAATGTCAAAGGTGATCCTTAGTACAATGACAATATATTTGATTTGTTTTCCAGGTGACACATCATTTGTTCTTTCTTTTCATTATCATATTCATATATATAGTGTTACTACACTACAGTAAGTAGTCTGAACGTTTCGATACATGCTGAGATTGTGGGAAGTCAATATTCCGAATTTTAAGATCTCCTACAAAAAGACCATAGCCCAGAACGCCTGGGGAAGGCAGTCCGGTGCCCAAAAAAAGGCCGTCCAACCCTCTAAAATGACAAGCGAGTACAAGGCTATCAATCGTTTTTTAATGTACCAGATACGTCACTATTGGCCCGAAAGTACTTTTATGGTTTTTTCGTATCTCTCCGGAAATACCATTCATTGCGAAACTTTATAGGTACCAAGTTTACTAAATGCATATATGCCTCTGTTTAACCGGCTTTGCATCGTTAACCGTTTCCGAGATAATAACGTTGGGATTCGAATTTGAAACACCCGATATATTTTCGTCTCTCTACTACAGTTGAGCATGATTATTAAAAATAACTAAGTGAAGAAATAATTGTGAATGTCTCCGTTTTACACTCTCCGCTGCATGCCTTACTTTTTCGTTTTTGAAAATATGAAAACACTATATATATGTTAATTTATACACCGTATTCCTTCCAGGGTGTGATAGGGGACCTAAAATGCAACAAATTTCACCCTATATATGGATAAAAATCATAAACGTGTGTTAATTTAATTGATTCACGTATTTCCGTAGTTTATACCTAAATACTTAGTATGCCAATAAAAAACAAAACACTACACATAAGAAGACAACACCTATCTAACCAAAATATTGTTTTCATTTTCAGTCTTCCTTATTAGAGCAAAATTGTATCTAGCTCTAAATATTGCTGGCACATTGATAGATATGATAGAGTTTAATTCTTATCAAACAGGCAAACAAACCGATTTGACTAATTAATAGATAATTATAATGATTATTTCAATTGAATGTACCTAGTTGCAGATGTGTGCATGCACTTTCATCCTGATGCTTGTGTCGCCTGCGTTGAAAAAGGAACCCTCAGTTGTTTTGCCATATTTGAGAAATTTCTCTATTAGAACGAATTTTTTGAAGTCTGATATCTGCCTGTGCCACGTTTTTGCGATATGTAGCTCCTTAACAGCTCCACAGAAGCAAAACATTTTACAGGATCAATAATTGGAATAACTTTTTGAGTAATCAACTGCTGGAGTTCTACTCACTGTACAGAGGAGTTTGAGTCAAACTTTTGATTTATTTATATCAAATCAGCAGTTCATATCACAAAAGATAGATCTGATTTAAGGATATAGCATTTTTTGAAGCTGTTCAACAGTACTTATACCCTATTATTGTAGAGTTGTAAACACAAAAATGCTCTTTAGTTTTCTGTACATACTTCAGTTGCTTGATGATTACCCCATCACTAATGCAGAGAATACCAATACTTTAACAGAAATTAGTACAAATGTTAAACACCCAATAATTAACCTTAATTAACCACACAATAATTAACCTTAACTGCAACTGCTGTCACAACTATATATACCCTATTTCATGAGTCTCCATCATGCTTTGATTTCTACTGCGCTGAACAGATGATCAGCAAGTGACATTTCAGTGTTAGTAAAATTTGTTTGCAGTGATTTGTTTTTTGTATGCAAATGTACTTTTCTAAATAAAAGAGCTGTTAGCAAGTAGAGAATGAATCTGTAGCTTATAAAAAACCAAAACAAAATATGGCTCTGACTACCTTACGTTGAGGGATCCCCGTCAGAATTATGTGTCCTGTGTCAATATGGGGAATTTTGAGATATTATTAGATAATTAGCTGTCATTGCACTGTGATGGATACTCGTCGTCAAATAGGGTATATAAATGAAGCTAGACCTAAATAAATATGGTAGTTCTACAAAAATACAAACCCAATGTAAACAATGTTAATCCAACACACATTAAAACTGCAGCAAGAAAATCCAATGGTCCATACCGTTTGCCTTGAATCAGGATACCACCAACTAAGACTGGTATCAATTTGCAGCACTTGAATATTATTTGTGTTGGGAAGTTCAGGTATCCAAGGGAAGCATTTGAGAAGCCCATGGTACCCAAAGTTAAGATGGCAAGGAGGAAATATGTACTTATCGGTATTCTAAAATAAAGAAGTGGAATTTGAATAAAAATGAACTAAATAAGTACTGGTATGACAAGAAATGACTCATTCGAGTCAATAAGTATTGTGAATGTGAAATTTTTGAATTTGGGATGTGTTTCTGATCTTTGTAGCTTTTTGTTGTTGAGTGACATTGATAATAACTGCACCTATCTTAACAAGTTTTTTTATAGTGTAATCAATGCATAGGTATGAGATGAAAGAAATATTTTAATTCTATACAGAGGACATTTTACTTTCCTACAAGCTTAATATTTGCAGGTGAAGCCTTGGTTTTCATTGTATATGAGCAATGATTAACATAATTATTCTACCTGAAGATAGCCAACCTAATAGCATATTTGTCTATCAAAAGAGTTATCTGAAATTATGTGATAGCTGTAGTAGTATCATGTATCAGAATTTGTCACAGCTATCTCTCCCCTCTCCTCAATAATTAGGGATCTATTTTGAAAAGCAAAGGTGAGTGCCCTACAGGCAATCATTTGGTACTCACATCAACCCTACTCTAAAATTGTTACCACAATTCTGACCAAAATAATTTTGTAGCAGACACCTATATGTATGTTAGTTTATAAACTATACTCAGCATTTCAGACAATTGGTGTGACGTACAATGAGAAGTCTAATTGTATGGAGAATCTAGACATGGTATCTGTTAATAATTTCAATGGATAACTACCTTCTGGAAGAGATCCCTCTGCATTTTGTTTCCACATATCCAAATATAGTGTAAAATCCAAACTGCACCAAGGTTAGGAACCATCCGTAGGGTTGAAAACCATCTATAGTGAATATTAACTCCTGTACATAGCCGTAAAGTAGGAAAAATAAAAAAACTGCCACTGTACAAAGCAAAAACTGTGCGGTGTTACTAAAATTTGTTATATCTATACATAAAATATGATTTCGCGGCTTTTCTGATTCAGGATTTAAAGCCAGCTTTTCTTTGTTAGTAGGTTTCATTGTTAAATGTTAGTGGCAGTTAATTGTTATAAACTATTATATATAAATGACACGTTCCTTCTTCAAATCATTTTGATGAATGGCAATGGCCCAATGGCTAATGACAATTTGACAATGCAAGCATGGCTAAGTGTCAATATGATGTTATTGCAGTGTTGCCAGAGCCCGCATTGAAAATTCCGCATCATAAAACAGGGGGGCATTTAGTATACAGGTTGTGTCAAAAAAGAAAAACTAAAACCAACCAGTGTGATAAAATATAACATAAGAAAGTGTAATAAAAAAAAACATTTAACTATAAAAACCAATACAATATTACAAATAACTGTCAAACAACAGAACATTTATCACGCAGTCATATTAAAAAAATATCACAGGAAACAAAATAATAAAAAGCATACGACTAAAGGCCATTTCTGTTTTGCATAAAAAAATTAAGTTTTTGAGTTACTTAAACTCAGTCACTGTCTGTATCAGATTCTTCTTGTTGCATTTATGTTCTCTCTATACTATATAAATTATTTTTGTATTTTTTTAAATGTTTTTCACCAAACTCGAAGTCTAAGCATCAACATTTTTATGTATTGTGTCCAGTTTGATAAGTATCGCGAGCAAAGTTGAAGGTAAAATACGACTCCTTTTCTTTGTTTTGATTATCTCCATATATGAGAATGTCCACTCGACACCTGCATTACCATGTGGCAAATGTTAAAATTATTAGACATACTTTGGAAATACACTTCACAGGTTGTGTTCTTACCACCTACTACCATGTATACGTGTCTCCATTGAATAAGAATTACCGACCGGTGGTTACCACTGTCGATTGGAAAGATATCTGTATTTAGATTTAGTTACTAACTGAACTCATTTTTTTTTCTTGTAAAAATATCCATCATGCGTACCTAAATTGCAAAATTCCGCTACTTTTAACAAAAAATCCAATTCCGCCGCTACGCCGCTACCACTTTAAAATTCCGCTAGCAGTAGCGGAATTCCGCTACTTCTGGCAACACTGGTTATTGTGTCATTTGTTTCAGGAATACCAACATTAATAGCGGAGTTAATCTGGTTGGCTCCCAAAAACATTGAGAATGAACATTGAATTTCTGATCTTATGTATGTAAATGACACCCATTGAAAAAGTAATAATCTAACTTTTATTGTCCACCTGATCCTAATATCTCTTGATTCCTAGGGTCATGTAAGTTTATAATATTATTCCAAGACTCGAATGTTAGGTGAAAGCCCCTAAGAGAGTTAGGTGCTAACTGAGACGCTAACACAAAGTGGCTGTCGCTATGACAGAATCATCTTCGTCAGCTTATCATTAATAACCTTGTTCATCATTAAATATGAAATTAACTAAGTGTTTGAATCCATATCCACTGTTCAAATACTTTAATAAAAGAAATACAGACTTTTGACAGATGTCAATTTATGGAACAATTTTGAAGCGCCATCTGAAATGTAAAATGTAAACAAAAAATAATAATGGCTTCTCTGTTTTGGCAGTGGTCTTCGTGTGCGAATAAATCGACGTAAAACTAGGTAATTAGCGAACTATTAATTATGGTAATTTTAATTCGGTGAGAGCGACTGTTTATTTAGTGAGAAAGTGTGTTATTATGTACTGTACAGTTGACAAAAGTCATTGTAGTGCAGCTTCTAGCGCACTAGGAAAGACGACGAAGGATGGTAATGGTAAGTACTATAACTTCAAATGAATTTTTTATTTGATTTATAGCTTGAATTGTAGCAGTTGGGGCATGACATTCGGTTAGTACAAACTGCGGTCTTCAATAAAGTACTGGTAAATAAATACAACACTGTAGATTAGATTAATGCATTATGCATTCAGTTGAAACTGCATTACAAAAAGTTGGCGTTGCACTTTTAGGATGCAGGTGCCTATATGAACAATCATGAACAAAACTGTTTCATTGTTTCTTTGAACATTTCTCTGATTTTATGGATCTATCTTTAAAACATGTGGATTTAGCTTTGATCCTCACATGGGAAGCCTGACCAGATGCGATACTATTTAATCAAAATATCAGATATTTACAATAAATTTATTTTTATTAGATATTCCTAGTGTATTTTTAGTAACACTTCATTTATTAATTCAAGGTAAAAAAGATAGCTATCTTCCATATCATCTACAACAATAACATGTACCTACTTCACATTCATTAATAGTTTTTGACATGATATCATTGAATTATTGGACATAACTCGAACTTTAAAAAATATGTTCAAGTTTCTTGCTGTATGTGAAGAATTCAAACATGACATGATAGAATAAATCATCATGAGGGTATGTTTTTGGACAGAGCAAATATATTTGTGTTTTAACTTGCTACTAAATAGGTACCTATAGGTATTTTTTTTTAATTTGTATGTCTCTCTTGTTTTAGAGGCAATTTTTAGACTTTTGTATTGATTTCTGATCATGATAAAAAGATAAACTGATTTATATAATTTAGTCCATATTTTTTGTTTTTAAAAGCCTCTTGATTTTTTCTGTTAGCATCATGGACTTTCTCTGCCTATTTATTAATAAATTCGAGAATTAACATTTTAATCCAAATACATTCTGTCACTTCCTAATAGGCTCATTGCCGCTAACTGAACCACACAACTCGGGTATCCTAGGCAGTGTAAATGGCAACCAGGGTTGACAGGTTAACAGGTCCCTCGACACTGAAATAGCCAGACAGAATGAGAAAGATCACCATCTATTTCAGTTCTATCGCCATATTTATCGCCATCAAGTTTTGCGCTGGAAATTTAGAATTGCCACTAATTTACGAATAATTTAAAATAATTATTAATCACACCTTTCACGGGTGATCCACCAATGAACCTCTTATTCGAAATATAAGTTGGTGGCAAGATGCTTTTGTTGAACGTTTTTATCTATGGTTAAACTAGTGCAGAGTGGAATAAATTGCTTAGCAAATGTACGCAATTCCTGTTTGAATTTCTAACGCCTACATGAGATATAAAATATATAATCAGTTGAACAAATAGTAGTTCCAATCTAATTAATGATGCCATATGTACATAAACACAGTGAAACAGTAATGAAAGTTAAACAGGTTATTATGTGAATAGGTATTGAATCTGTATTAGACTGTAATCTGGTAGAATTAAGTTTTCTTGTGACTGCAGATTATACAGGGTGTTTCAGTTTATTGTTGCATAACTTTAAGATTCGATAGAACTTTTAAAATTAGTGCATAAAGTCTATATAAAGTCTATAGAAACGTGGCTTCCGAAATACAGGGTGTTTAAATTTACTTTCTAAAATAGTTTTTTTTTAAATATTTCGAACAATATTTGATGTATAACAGTGAAAATTGGTATACAAGGGTTTTTTGGTACGACAAAACGAACCATGGGCATAGTTTTACTGTAGCCGCTAGAGGGCGCTCTCTTCTGCACCTGTAGTGTATTAAAATGACCGAAAATTTTTCCTTAGTGCAATTTTTTGCTTTTTGAATAAAAAAACTGATTCTTCGCACTTTTCAACATAAAAAAGCACTCTTGTGAATTTTCGTTACAGTTAGCCGTTTTTTAGATATTTCGATTTTTAAGGTTCGATGCATTTTTAATTATTTATGATAAAATAACGTTAAAAAGTCAGTATCTCGGATAATTTTTAGAAGTAGGCTGTTCCTGCAAATATTTTTGAAATTGAAAGCAGAATAAGGTTAAACGTCAATTAGTTGACAGTTAGTATTGTTGTCTGTTGAAACCTGAAACGTTTTATTGCAATTGTGAATGCACGACATTCAGTTTCTTTTACCTGTTTTTTTTTTGTAAGTTTTATAAAAATGCCATTTTTATTCTCCAATCAAGAGTTAGCGGATACTCATTTTGTGTATGGCTTTGTAAATGGAAACGCAGCAGAAGCAGCCAGAGAATACGCACGAAGATTTCCAAACATACGACATCCAACTCGCTCAGTATTTGTAAGAGTGCATCGCCAAATAATTGAAAATGGTTTTGGAAATCTCTAAAGGAATCAAAACATAAATGTTCGTCAGCGCAGATTTACCCGTATGATTCTGCGTGAGTTTGATCCGATCACAAGTGTTAGGAGAGTTTCTGGTGCCTTGAGAATTTCAGCAAGCCATGTTCACCGTGTTCTTAGAAATGACCACAGACGTCCTTACCATTCGCAACCTGTGCAAGGACTACAGCCAGGGGACGGAGAACGAAGAATCACATTTTGTCAGTTTATTCTTGATAGAACTGATAATAATAGGGAGTTTTTAAGTAATGTTTTATGGACCGATGAGTCATGCTTCACTAGACGTGGAGTGGTAAATTTTCATAATCAACATATTTGGTCGCATGAAAATCCGCATGCAGTTCGGGAAAGAAATTTTCAGCATGAATTTAGTGTGAACGTGTGGATTGGTACCTACCGTAATCGACTATTTGAACCCTACCTTTTGCCTGCAAGGTTAAATGCTGCGATCTTCTTGGAATTTTTAAAGGCTGAACATGCAAATATGTGGAATGATGTTATGTTAGATTTAAGAAGATTGGCCTGGTTCCAGCTTGATGGTTGTCCAGCTCATTATTCGAGAATAGTTAGAAACTGGCTGGACGAAAATTATCCAGAAAGATGGATCGGCCGTGGAGGACCAGTCGCCTGGCCTCCACGATCCCCTGACCTAAATCCATTAGATTTCTTTGTGTGGGGATTTCTAAAAGAAAAAGTGTACCAGACTCCCGTAACCACAAGAGATATGCTAATAGATAGAATCAGGAATGCATGTGATGAAATAGGCCTTATTTGAATAATGCTATACCACGTTCGAGCAACTACTTTAGATTTTGTATGTTTGTCCTATCTATCCAATAGCATTTTAGTTGTAAATAATTAATTTAATTTGTTAAAAATAATATTGGAAAATTAAACAAATTAATATTCTGTTTTTTTGTGTTTATTTGGAATTAGGAATTATTGCGGTGTTTAAAAACACAATCTAAACGATCATCTTAATTACTTGTAATGCCCAAATCGAAAATGTAAAAAAAATATTATTTTCCCATAAATAATAAAAAATGCATCGAACCTTAAAAATCGAAATATCTAAAAAACGGCTAACTGTAACGAAAAT